ACAAGCCTCTGGTGCTTACTGCAAACTCTTTGCTCCCATGCACCACAGCCCTGCCCAGCACTCGCACATGTCACCGGTGCCAGCCACACTCGCACCCACTGCCAGGGCCGGCCCTGCTTACACCCACAGCCGGCACTGGAGCCAGCGCTCGCATCCACTTCTAGTGCCCGGCGCCAGTCCTGATCACTTGGCGCCATCAGCAGGTGTCAGCAGCAGCTACCAGCCCTGATCACCCCTAAGGGCTTCTCCACCTCCCCCCGCTCCTGCGGGATGATCAGGGCAGTAGCCGCCACTCACACCTGCTGATGGTGCCAGCCCCGCTTGCACCCACTACTGGCGCCCATCCCAATCACCCCGTACTGTCAGCAGGTGCAAGCTGGGCCAGTGCCATCAGCGTGTGGGAGCAGAGGCGGCCAGATCTGGGCTGCTGGCAGACAGGGGACTAGGGGCCGCAGCAGGAGGGGATGGGCAGGGCTATGGAAAATGGGCCAAGACCGGCCCCTGTGCCTACTGCAGCCTTGCGGTCCACAGTTCCTTTCAAGGTGCACAAATTCGTGCACTGGGTCCCTAGTCTTAAATAATTTTCAGTGTTAGTCACTGAAATAAAATATTATAATTTGCTCAAAATCTACCCGAAATTTTGCTGTATTAATTATGTAAATGTACATTTTCACAACCATAGTTCTAAAATACTTTTTTACTGTTTAAAGATACAATATTTATTTAACTATTTGTTTTTTTAGATCAGAACTGGATGATATGCCAGAAAAGCAAATCTGTGATGTTGTTGGCGTTTTAGTTTTTGTAGGAAGGGTCCAACGGTTAAAAAAGAAAGGTAAGCTTTTGAAATTGAAAGTAATAAAAAGGATTTCAATGACTAGTTCTGTGTTTATATATGCATAATCAATTACCTTCATTTATTCTAATATTATATCTATATAGAAAACAGTGAAGATTTTTGGTCATATCGCTGGATTCACATTGCTGACGGGACTTCAGATCAACCATTCATTGTGGAACTGTTTTCTACATCTCAGCCAGAAATCTTTGAAAATATTTGCCCAAGTACTCAGTTCCAATATCTTTATCTTTTTATTTTTTCAAGTGGGGGCATTAACTTTAAAAATGTTAAACTTAATTATAGAGGGTCATGATACTGAGTTAGCAAATTCAAGCTATGATAGCATGTTTAATTTTTTCTATATTAATATTATATCTGGTATTACATGTTAACCACCTTCTGGTTTTTTATTCAGAATTAATTTGCGAATGAACTAGTTTTTCAGAAAATAGGTGCTCTTATTCTCATTGTTAGCATTTCAGACATAAAAGCATAAGATTCGGTGAAACTAAAACATAGGTAGTCAGTTTCCTTTGTATATACTTGGAAAGACAATGAAGACTTTCCTAATGTTGAATTAATTGGTAGGAGATTGGCAGGCTGTGTAATTAAATTTGACAATGACAAGTATGATTCCATTTGAGTATTAAATTAGTATTAGGTTGGTGGTATTATAACAGTTGGTTAATATTTTACTTACTTTGTCATTGACCTTTTCCCCTTGCATTCATTTAGATATATAGGTGTTTTTTCCTCACTAATTTTATTTATTTGAAAACATTTTAGAAGCACCCTATTGTATATTTTATATAACAAGTTAGTTTTTGTATCTATTATAAGAAAAAAGTATGCATAATACTTTCTAACAACTTCAGTGAATTTTTCCTTCTTTGATTTTGTAGTATCAAGCTATTTTAGATATGATGTGCTATTTTACTATTTTCTAAATGATTGATTATATGAATTAAATACCGATTGTTAAATATTTCTTAACATTAGGGAAACTCTCAGTCTTGGCTACATGCAATTTTTTTAAAATCAGCAACATTCCCAGCTGGCGTGGCTCATTGGTTGAGCGTCGACCTGTGAACCTGGAGGTCGAGGTCATGGTTTGATTCCCGCTCAGGGCATGTACCCAGATTGAGGGCGTGATCCCCAGTGTGGCGCATGCAGGAAGCAACTGATAGATGATTCTCTCTCATTGATCTTTCTACCTCTCTCTCCCTCTCCCTTTCTCTCTGAAATCATTTAAAAATAAGTTTAAAATAATAAAAATAAAATCAGCAACATGGTAGACATTGTAGATCAGAAGACTTGGAGACCTTGTACAGGGCTGTTCTGCTACGCCTTTATTCTCTATTGCAAAACAGTATTATACACTGTGCAGATATTATCTCATTAGATTCCACCCTCTATTTGTGAGATTATTTTTTTAAGTATAACTTACTATAACCAAACCTTACCCCAACTACTGGGGGAGAGGGCAGAAAGACAGCTTTAGCGAAAACCAAAGCCTGGTCTTCCAAGGTGAGCGGGGCTATATAACTTCTCCAGAGGCATAAATGATTGGTAGCAATGCCCTCTGATGACAATTCTATTACCTCATGTTAGATGAGTTTTATTGCCAGGTTTCTCTTTGTAGTCACTTTAAACAACAAACTGACACATGTTCTACATAATGCTTTTTCACAGAAATGTTGCCTAGCATGCATGTTCTATTTCTTGTGAGAATATATATATATAAAGGTTTGTATGGACTTTGGTGAGATTTTCTCTAATACGGTAATTGACAACAATTACAATTTATTTTCATCTTTTGACCAAAAATGAAGGGGGAAAAAATCACTTAATGAATGGTGAGTATTAAGGGGGTTTTAGGCCTATGAAGGGGAACATGACTAAGGGTCTTCTGTAGTAATACCAAAATTAGTTGGTAGTAGGGCATCTTTTTTTAATTTTTATGAAAGTGAAGAACTAAGGGAAACTAATATTGAATGTTTACTATGTATCAAATGCTCATAGATGTTATCTCATTTTGTACTCCCAGTTACCTTTTAAAGAGTTGACGTTTTTTTACAAATCTATAGGTAAGGAAACAAAGGTCCAGTGGGTTAAGTAATCTCCTGGATGTCAAACAGCTATTAAGTGTTAGATATGAATGTCTGATTATTTTTTAATCTATACCCGAGGATATTTTTTCCATTTATTTTTCAAAGAGAGGGTAAGGGAGGGAGTGAAAAAAACACACAAAACATCAATGTGAGAGAGATGGCCAGGGTGAACATGCAGCCGAGGTACATGCCCGTGGCCAGGAATCAAACCCATGACCCTTGGATCCACAGACCGATGCTCTAACCACTGAGAAAAACAGGCCATGTCTGATTTTTAACAGCCATGAAATTAGAATAAGATATTTTGTTAATGCTGCTCTATCAACATCTTTAACCATGAATACTCACATATTTGTACAGTTTTTTGAAGTAAAAGAAACACAGTACATATTAAGACAACTATTCTTAGTCATTTGAACAGGTTTTCTTTATTTTCATTGCTATAAAATAAAGATCTAGTAAATATAAGATGAAGAAAATGAATTTATATATCATGGTCTAGGAAAATATTTATTCTCAAGTGAGAATTTACTGTTATTGTGAGATTAGAAGTATTTACATTTATTTCTTTATTTCCTGGTTTGCAAGACTATAACTGTTTTGCCATGTAAGGAGTTAAAATTTTTAGAAACTGTTGGATTAATGAAATTTTCCCAAATAAACGCATAGATATTTAAAAATAATTGATAGCTCTTGAAACTAATTCAAGTCTGCAGACATAATCTTATTTTCAGTTATTCTTTTTAGCCTATCAAGTTTGTTAGCAAGGTGAACAAAAATAATAGACAACAAGCCTTGTCATTGAGGCTTAAAGTCTACTTAAGGTCAACATATGTAAAATATTTTTCCTAACCAAACTGAAATTAATACTCTATAGCCCTATCTGGTGGAAGGAGTACTTTAGGGATCAATGTTAAATTGAGTTAATCAGTGAAAACATCTTGGAGAAACTAAGCCTTTTTTCTCTTTAGGAAATAATTGTTCACATTGTGTTGTGTGCCCCATTAGAAAGACTCTTGCACTCTTCAACTGTGCAGCAAGTAGTGACTTCAGTTAGGTGCAGCTGTTGTATATTCTAAAGGAAAAGTAAGTGTTAAGTCCGTTATCTAAAGGAAAAGGTAAGTGTTAATCCTTGTTGCTCCAAGTGTGGTCAAGGGATTGGCAGCACTAGTATCACCTAGGAACTCATTAGAAATGGAGAATCTCATACCCTACCCTAAAACTACTGGATCTTAATTTGCATTTTAATAATTGTCCTAGATGATTTCTATATTTATTAACTTTTGAGAAGCACTGTGTTAAATCCTGATCTTGGTATGTCCTCTTTGAAATGCAGAAGTTCTTTCATAAGTGTTTTCATTTTCTACAGTGACATATTTCATGTGTACACAGTTGAAAGTTGTCAGAAATAACAATCAAGTACCTAAACTGCTTTACCTCACCACTACAAATGAGAGTCAAATATTTATTATCGGTGAGCAATGCCTTTGTATATGCTCTACTGGAAATGTAATATATTTTCTCTTCATTAAATTAACTTTTACATAACAACATTCAACCACAAGATAGTTCTATTTTCATCTTCTTTATCTCTATAAGAATGTTTTAAAAGAATACTTAGCCTATGAAATATATTTCTTCTAGATTATTTATGATTGAAACAATGATTTTGTGACTCACTGGAGAATTGTGTTTATATCTTTGGCTAACTTTAATTCCTATTTGCTATAAGGTAGATAATCATAAATTATTTGATAGATTGAAAACTGTTAGGCCCTCCATCACAATACGGATTCAATTTAGCAATATTTTAAAATACTGAGTAAAACAAAAATGTGCATCAAATTTTGGCCTCAGGATCTCACAATTTACTTATATAGCAAGAAGAGTCACACTACTTGTCTATAAATACTTTATTTTTCTCTGTTCCCTTTGATAATGGGGTCAAAACAATAAAGATAAAAGGTTCCAGATTAGTGAGGGAGTACTGTGGAATGGTGTGTTTACTAGAATGCTAACATATTGGTGATTAGGAAATTTGTCAAGAGTTCTAGGAAGTGTGTAACACACATCTTTGTCAACACCTCATTTTATAAATACTAATAACATCAGATGTAAATAGCACTTTTAAGTGTGCGTTAAGAAAATGAATTTAAACATTGTGCTTTACTGCCTGGACAGTATGGCTCAATGGTTGTACATCAACTCATGAATCAGGAGGTCACCGTTAGATTCCTGGTCTGGGCACATGCCTGTGTTACAGATTCAATCTCAAGTAGGGAGCGTGCCGGAGGCAGCTAATCGATGATTCTTTCTCATCATTGATGTTTCTATCTCTACCTCTCCTTTCCTCTCTCTGAAATCAATGTCACCCAAATAAATTTAATTTTAAAAAATGTTGAGCTATACTTATAGGCAATTTAGTTCATCCATGATGCGATATATTCAAGATAATACATGATTTAAAAATCAATTTAAAGAAAATGCCAACCATTTGGATAGTTAGAAAAATCCCAGTTATTAGTTTCTTTTTCATATGGCTTTTTAGTATCCTGTAGACAGCTACAGTTTAGTCCATTAAAACTCTAGTATGCATATTGAGTACAATTATCCTCTATATAGAGAATCAGTGAACATGACTTGTTTTCTTGGTGATATAAGAAACTGTTTTAATATTAAACTGTATTTATACAAAAAAGTCCATTCAGTTTATTACAGTAAGTTGGTTTACACTCCCGCCCTTATTTTTCTCTTTACCCTTCTTGCAAATAGGTCATAGAGGCCAGCCATATGTCAATGATACCAAAGTAAAAAGTTTTATTCGCTGGATTAAAACAAAGACTGATTCTGGGGAAATGAAGAATACTGTTATTGGTGGATATTACCCCTATCCCCCAGTGCCAGAAACATTTTCGAAGTATAGTACTTCTGTAAAAGGTACTAATAAAATTGATACTTTTTAAATGATATTTTTATATGCTACATGTATGGTGTATGAAATATCAGTTAGTCTTCTTTATTCTTTTATTATATGGGGGTGAGCCAAAATGTATCAACACTTCCTGATAATAGTGCTGTTTTTCTGCAAATCTAAAGATATCATGTGTCCTAAAGGTAATATTTTCATTTTATTTGACTGGAAGAAAAGAAGGAACATAGACGATTACTAAATAGAGATAATATCTCAATTTAATGTCATTGAGATATACCCTGACTGTAGTAGATTTCAACTCCTATGACATTACTTAGAGAAACTAAGATATCAAAGGGAACACTGGGCAATTTGATATCAAGATACTGAAAACTGCATTATGCTAATCTTATGAAATAGTATAGTATTTAGATGATAGGTCAGTATTTCAAAATTTCTCTTTTTTTCCCAAAACCATGCAATTATCCCACAGTTTTAAAAAACAATATACTTAAGTGTTAAACTTTTCAATTGTCATATCTAATTGTAGTAAAAGTAATTAACATTAGGCCTCTCTATCAGTACTCATTTTGCATCTCATTGATTTGGGTGTCATTTTTATTTAAAGGTAGCACTCGATTGTGTTATATCCAATATAGAGGGGTGTACAAAAGTAGTTACATTTGTGAGTATGCGAAACAGTTTATTCTTATATTATTATTTATTATTGTATTATTTTCCATATAAACAACTGTAAACCTACTTTTGCCCCACCCTGTATTGGCATCCTTTTGCACTTTTTTTAAAAAAATATATTTTATTGATTTTTTACAGAGAGGAAGGGAGGGAGATAGAGAGTTAGAAACTTCGATGAGAGAGAAACATCGATCAGCTGCCTCCTGCACATCTCCTACTGGGGATGTGCCCGCAACCCAGGTACATGCCCTTGATCGGAATCGAACCTGGGACCTATCCACTGAGCCAAACCGGTTTCGGCCCTTTTGCACTTTATAATGCCGTCAATTTGTAGTATATATTTAGAAATATTAAAATGTGTGTGTCTATGCAGTGGCTAGGCAACACTTTTTAGTCTGAAATATGATCTATAATTTACATTGAATATACAAAATTTCTGTTTCAAATTAAAATTCCAGACTAGAAGACTGTATCATGATTTAACTGATTAATATATTTTGCCTATTTTACAAAAATTACATAAGAGGATGCCAAATATAAACACAAAGCCTCACAAATTTAAATTATGTGGCAAGTTTATAATTTCAAGTTGTATTTAGATTGCAAATCTGGTTTTTATTTTTATCATTTCAGTTCTTTAAAACTTACAATTTCCTTGGAATTACTCTTTTGCAGTTCAGTCGCTCCTGACAGCTATAAGTGAAGTGAGGAAGGAGATTGAAAACTTGCAGTATAGGGAACAAAAACGCATTGCAATTCAGGGAATAATTACTGCTATAAAGTATATTCCCATTAGCAGTGCAACTGGAAGTTCCTCAGCATCAGAAACAGTTCGGGTATGGCACCAGAGAATTAATAGTATATTGCTGAAAACGCTATGATCATAATTACAGTTGCACCTTGTTCATTTTATTCAGAACTCACATGCATTGATTCTTTTTTTATTATTCTTCTTAATGGTGTAAAACCAAGAGGGGGGAAAGATCATTGTTGCTTTTTGTTTCTTTTTTCTGTCATTTATTTATTTTGGAGCAGGCTGGGCAGAAGGTCATAGCCTCTGATATTTCCCAAGGCCCTCAAAATTTGGTATCTTGATTTTGCTTTCTACACAATTTAAGCCTATCTTGATTGTTGTTATTTAAATTCCCAAGTGGTATATATTATTACAGGCATCCTTGGAAATATTGTGGGTTCAGTTCCAGATCACTGCAATAAAACACATATTGCAATTAAACAAGTCACATGAATTTTTGTTTTCTCGGTGCATATAAAAGTTATTTTTACACTATACTATAGTCTATTAAGTGTGCAATAGCATTATAATTAAAAAACAGTTTACATAACCTTAATTTAAAAAATACTTTATTGATGAAAAGATTAACCATCATCTGAGCGTACTGGAAAAATGGTGCCAATAGATTTGCTCCACACTGGGTTGCCTCAAACATTTAATGTGTAAAAAACACAATATCTGCAAAGCACAATAAAATGAAATATGTCTATATATTATTTTCTTACGTTTTGTCAAGCCCAGAACTTTAGGAACACTTCCACAGGAAGTTCTTACCTCTGGGTCTGGCATGGCAGTCTTAGCCAAGTTGTATAAGACACCAGTTCTGAAATCTAGGCATAATCAAGTCAAAAAAGTTAATTTTTTCTATGAGTTTATTTTTTAAATTATTTCTAGGATTGCTATTCTTTTTTTAAGTTTTATTGGAACACAACTGCAGTTATTTGTTTAAATATTTGTTTACGGATCCTTTTTAAAATTTAAATATATTTTTATTGATTTCAGAGACAAAGGGAGAGGGAGAGAGAGATAGAAACATCAATGATGAGAGAGAATCATTGATCAGCTTCCTCCTGCGCACCCACTGCTGGGCATGTGCCCTTAACCAGAAGGGAACCTTTAGTCCACAGGCCGACACTATCCACTGAGCCAAATTGGCTAGGATTACTGTTCTTACAGAAATACACATCTAATCTAACTTTTCAGCTATAGTAATATAAGAGGGACTTCTGTTTATTTTTCTTTTAAAAATATTTTAATAGAAGATGGATTAGGATAAATCATCTTTATAAAAGCACTATTATTATTTCAACATGTTGTCACAATTCTTAAGATTATGAAAAATGAGTAAACTAAAATTGTAGACTTTTAAAATAAATAATTTCAATGAATTAGTTTTAAATGTTTTCTCTAAATTTTTGGTTTCAGAATGTTAACCAACCCTCAACATCCCAAACAGCAATAAAAGAAAGTCAAAGTCAGGAACTATATGGTAAACAGCATCAAGATGATGGTTCTGTGAGTTGTCAAACTACATGTACAAGTTTGAGCCCTCCCAAGAAAAAAAGGATTCTGCAAGGGCCATTTGCCAAACTGTAAGTCATTTGTATTAAATACATACATAGAATATTAGGTTGTTTTGTTTTGTTTTGTTGGTTTCTTTCTATCCTGTAAAATGCATAATTGTACAGAAGTTGTATTAGTTTCCTAGGGCTGACGAAGTACAAGATCAAGGTATTGGTAGGGTGAATTCCTTATAAGAGATGTGAGGTAGAATCTGTTCCATGACTCTCACCTAGCTTCTGGTGGTTTACTGGCAATATTTGGTATGTCTTAGCTTATAGAAGAATCACCCCAATCTGTGCCTTGATCTTCTTCACCTGGCATTCTCCCTATGTGTAAATTTGTGTCCAGATTTCCACTTTTTTCAGGACACCATCCACATTGGATTACAGATCCATTCTGGGGTACTGGTCTACTCCAATATTATATTATCTTAACCAACTGCATCTTTAATGACCCTATTTTTAAATGTCACATTCTCACTGTCCTTGAAAATGTAATCAGTTACATATTATTAGTCTGTCCTCTGGCCCCTTAAAATTTATGTCCTCACATGCAAAATACATTCAGCCCATCACAACATCCCCAAATGTCTTAACCCATACCAACATTGACTCTAAGTCCAAAATCTCATCTAAATATCATCTAAATCATGTGTGGATGAGATGCAGGGTGATTCATCCTCAGACAAAATTATTTTCTATCTGTAACTTGTGAAACTACACATTATCTATCCAAAATACAATTGGTGGGACAGGCATTCCAAAAGGAAGAAATTGCAAGGGAGAAAAGGATCATGGGTCACAAGCAAGTTTGAAACCTAGCAGGATCAGTTCCACTTGATTTTAAGGCTCCAGAATTATCCTGTTTGGCATGATACTATGTCCTCTGGGCTCAACAGGTGACAGCCTGAGTGGGTAGCTGGCTCTGTACTCTGGAACTGAGGTGATGGCTCTACCTTCATAAAGAAAAGGCCTTACCCTCAGGGTTATTCTTCCCTTTTTTAAAAAGAGTAACACACGATCACAGCTGGATATATCTATCAGGTCATTTCCTGACTTTAGAATTCCAGAAACCCAACAGCCTTTCTTCATTTCCTCTCACCTATATCCCTTCAGTCTAAGCCAGTGGTTCTCAACCTGTGGGTCGCGACCCCTTTGGCGGTCGAACGACCCTTTCACAGGGGTCGCCTAAGACCATCTTGCATATCAGATATTTACATTACGATTCATAACAGTAGCAACATGACAGTTATGAAGTAGCAACGAAAATAATTTTATGGTTGGGTCACAACATGAGGAACTGTATTTAAAGGGCCAGAAGGTTGAGAACCACTGGCTAAGCTAACAGCATGCCAAATGAGATAGTTGATTGGGCCCATAGGTCACAAGCCTGTGTTGGGCAAATGGTTCGCCAACAATACCCTTGGTGTTCTATCCAGAGCAGACTTTCTCATTTTTTGAAATTGAGTAGGCTGAGAATTTTCCAAGTATTGAAGTGTGGTTCCTTTTTTCTTAACAATTCTCTTTTCAAATGTCTCTACCCTCTCATATTTTACTATAAGCAGCAAGGAAAAACCAAGCTGTGCCTTCAACACTTTGTAAGTTCAGCTAAATATGCAAGTTCATTGCATACAAGTTTCACTTTCCATCCAACAAAACACAATTCTGCCAAGTCCTCTGCTATTTTATAACAAGGATCACCTTTCATCCAGTTTCAAATTAGACATTATTTCTTTCTGAGACCTCACCAGAAGCTCCATTTACATTCATATTTCTAGCAACATTCTGTTCATGACAATATGTGTTTTCCCTAAGAAACAGAAGCTTTGTCTATAGCTTTGTTCTTTTCTTTCTGAATCTTGAACAGATTCTCCTTCAAAATCCATATTTCTAGCAACATTCTCTTCAAAGCAGTCGAAACTTATTCTGTTAATGAATCTCAAAACTCTTTCAGCCTCCACTTAATACCTAATTCCAAAGCCACTTCCACATTTTTAATTATTTGTAACAGCAGCACCCTACTTCCTGGTACTGAAATCTGTATCAGTTTTCTAGGGCTGCTATGACAAAGTACCACAAGTTGTATGGCTTAAACAACAGAAAATTATTGTCCCGCAGTTCTTTAAGCTACAACTTTAAGATTAAGGTGTCAGCAGGGTTGGTTCCTTTTGAGGGTTGTAAGGAAGAATCTGCCCCATGCCTCTCCTTCCAGCATCTGGTGATTTGCTGACAATCTTTGACATTCATGGGCTTGTCGAAACATCACCCCAATCTGTATCTGTGTTTAAATATCCCTTTTTATAAAAACATCTGTCATATTAGTGGCCCACGCTACTCCAGTATGACTTCATCTTAACTAATTACATCTTCAGTGACCCTGTCTCCAAATAATTGCACATCTGCCTTGCTCAGCATGGACTAATTGAAAATTAATTTAAAATGGGAAGTAACCCAAAAATAAACATTTTAATTTATGTATGCAGTATATTTTAACTTAAAATACTATAAATGTATTTAATTTAAAATAATTTGTTCATCAGTTGTTTAAGCATGGATCTTTTATACATAAACTCCATTATGAATTGTATATAATTAACAGTTTTGGTTTCTTTGCAGTAGCAACAAAACTGAGAAACTAATAAAGAAGGTGAAGTACAGAATCATTTAGATTTTTTTTTAATTAACACTATTCTTTTGTAATAGCTATGTCCAATCAGACTCATTTTTGGGTTATATACTAAGCTTGTATCTGGCTATGTGAGCTAGAAAATTAAATCATTGATTTTTGGGTTCTTCCTTTCTAATATATGCATATTTGCTATACATTTTTCTCCATGCACTGATTTAGCCACCTCCTACTTCATATCAGTTAGTTCAAACATTTTTTTGGTTTTCAGTGTGATTCTCTTCAGACTCATATCATTTAATTTCCAATCACTTGAGAATCTCTAGTTGCATTTTTAACATTTAATTCAGCTTATCTTCACTCTGGAAAGAGAAAATATTCTGAACTATTTTAATTATTTGAAATGTGTTGAAAGGCTTTTCTTAAATTGTACATGTGGTCAATTTTGGTAAATGCTTTTTCATATGCACTCAAAAAATGTGAATTCCATCATCCTCGAGTGCAGTGTTCTATACATGTCAGTTAGGTCTAAGTATACTAATTGTGTTGTTAATATTTATTGTTGACAGTGTTACAGATGCCCCCCCTTTTTACTTCTCATTGCCCTGCTCCACCAGAATCTCACCACCACCACCCCCACCTTCATCACCCTATTGTCTATGTCTATGGGTAATACATATCTATATATATAAAAGCCTAAGCTACCATTATGACTGAACAACCAGAACAATCGGTCAACTGGTCGCTATGGTGTGCACTGACCACCAAGGGGCAGACACTCAACGCAGGAGCTTCCCCCTGGTGGTCAGTGTGTTCCCACAGCCAACCTCCCGCAGCCCCTCCCTCCACATGGCCCCCATTGGCCCCTGGTGCTAAACCTTTCGTAGACAACCTGCTTCTGGGTCTGGGTTTCATATGTAGCAGAGCAGATCCCTCGATGTGATTTATTGAAAGTCAGCCCTCAACACAAGGGTTCATTTGATTTCTTGTTCATTTATTTTGATTTTTAGATTTAATTGTTCATAAATATGTATTTATTGCCACTTTATTGTTTATATTTCTTGTTTCTTCTTCTTCCTCTACCTCTTACTCCTCCTTTTTTCAAAGAACATGCTTCAACATTTCATATAATGCTGATTTGATGGTAATGAACTCCTTTAGCTTTTTCTTTTCTGTGAAGCTCTTTATCTGACTTTCAATTCTCAATGACAGCTTTGCTGGGTAAAGTAATCTTCACTGTAGGTCCTTGCTTTTCATCGCTTTGAATATTTCTTGCTACTCCCTTCTGCCCTGCAAAGTTTATGTTGGTAAATCAGCTGACAGACATATGGGCTCTCCCTTGTAGATAACTAACTGCTTTTCTCTTGCTGCTTTTAAGATTCTCTCTTTGTCTTTAACCTTTGGCATTTTAATTATGATGTGTCTTGGTGTGGGCCTCTTTAAGTTCATCTTGCTTAGGATTCTCAGGTCATCTACGAATGGTTTAGCACCAGGGGCCCCTGGTTTAGCACCAGGGGCCAATCGGCTTCCTGTACTTGTATGTCTATTTCTTTCACCAGGTGGGGGAAGTTTTCTGTCATTATTTCCTCAAATATGTTTTCAATTTCTTGCTCTTTCTCTTCTCCTTCCAGCACCCCCATGATACAAATGTTGGTATGTTTGAAGTTGTCCCAGAGGCTCCTTACACTATCTTCATATTTTTTATTCTTTTTTAAAATATGTTTTTATTGATTTCAGAGAGGAAGGGAGAGGGAGAGAGAGATACAAACATCAATGATGAGAGAGAACCACTGACAGGCTGCCTCCTGCACACCCCAACTTGGAATTGAGCATGCAAACCTGGCATGTGCCTGCAACCCTGCCATGTGCCCTTGACCAGAATTGAACCCAGGACCCTTCAGTCTGCATGCTGACACTCTATCGCTGAGCCAAACCAGCTAGGGCCATATTTTTCATGATTCTTTTTTTGTGCTCTTCTGATTGGGCGTTCCTCATATTCAAATTGTTGATTTGATTCTCAGCTTCCTCTACTCTACTGTTGATCCCTTATAAATTTTTCTTTATTTCAGTTAGTGTATCCTTTATTTCTGACTGGTCCTTTTTTGTGTCTTTGATGTTCTCACTAATTTCCTTGAAATTCTCACTAAGTTCCTTGAGCATCCTTAAAACCATTGTTTTGAACTCTGTATCTAGTAGTTTGCTTGTTTCTGTTTCATTTATTTATTTTTCTGGAGCTTTCTTCTGTTCTTTAATTTGTGTCATGTTTCTTTGTCTCTACATTTTGGCTGCTTCCCTGTGTTTCTTACTATGCATTTGGTAGAGCTGCTATGTCTCCTAGAATTGGTAGAGTGGCTTTGTATAGTAGGTGTCCTGTAGGGCCCAGTGGCTCAGCCTCCCCAGTCAC